AAAAGATTAAATTTCATATCCGTAGAATCGTAGTGTTTCTACCAATAATTGAATTAAATTTGTTAAATTCGACAGACAAATGTCTTATTTTATCAGATGTAACATTACAAGGAAAGATGTCAATACAAAGTAAGACTTACCACGGTACAAGCAATTTTCTCATTCAACGGTGATTCCCCAGTTAATACTTGGGAATTCCCATTCACCTTTTAGTAATATGAAGGAACACTGCTAAGAGAACATTGTCTGAGAATTTCAGACTGCTTAACTCGATGACGTCAACCAACGAATAATGTTACTGAATAATGAGTGAAACTGATTATACCACTTTACGTGACCCCAATCTTTACAAGGCATTTGGTAAGTTATTATAAGTCTAGCACTTTGTTTGACTATCTGGGATGCAATTATAATTTGCAAAATAAACTTTTGGAGGAACTTTCTTTGTACCTGGTGTTTATATTGATTAGTTGGAAGAATGTTCATGGTTTTGAAGCCTGCACATGTATACTTAATACCTCTGACTGCGAATACCTTGAGGCACAGTTCATTCCTGTCAATAGAAGACTTGTGTCGATATGGAAAGAAAATAAGTTAAATGGATATCTCCCCTAAAATAACATAGACAATCTGTACTGGTTTTCTGTTTATAATCTGAGATTATACTTAATGTTAGAACAGTTAATTACACAACTATACAGAAATTTATGCTTATTCACATAACTAAGCAGACCACATACTTATGTTTCTCAATTAATGCTTTAATGCAATCAATTAGGTGTTGACCTAAGTCAACATACTTTAGTAGGTAAGCATTTACCATAGATTTACGTGTTCATGACGTTCTAATTTACACTATTCTGTAATAATGCAACAGTAATGCTTATGGTAACATTTTATAAAGACGACAGTTAATAAAGGGCAAAGGCTATACATGCCATGTCAAGTATCAATAGTCAAAGTTCTGAAATCGTTGACATCAAATCGAGCTCTTCGTATCTTTCACTGAAAGAAAAGTAGAACCAATTTTCAGGGTCATTATCATTATGCATCGTATCTTCTTCTGTGTTGTCAACGAGATGGCTGACGACGAGCTGCAATGATTGAAAATCCATTCGATCAAAGATTGAACTTATCTCTTCATCCGAAAACATGTCTTCTTCTCTGTTGTTAACGAGAAGGCTATCGTCGAGCTGCATAGCTTCAGAATGTGGTTCTCCTTGATGGTACGGTTCGATCTCACTTGTCTGGTTGCGATAACTCCCGTCACCAGTTTGTTCAAGAGAACTGAAAACATTGCGTTGATTAGGTTCCCCAACAAATACACTGATATTTTGTGTCATTTTAGCGACATTTATTTCTTGATCCACTGGATTCCCTTCAAAGGAACAAATTTCTGTACCGAATACATTTCGATCAAAGATTAAACTTATCTCTTCATCCGGAAACAGGTCTTCTTCTCTCTTTCTAACGAGAAGGCTATCGCCGAGCTGCATAGCTTCATAATCTGGTTCTCCTTGATGGTACGGTTTGATCTCACTTGTCTGGTTGCGATAACTCCGGTCACAAGTTTGTTCAAGCGAACTGAAAACATTGCGTTGACTACGTTCACCAACAAATACACTGATATTTTGTGTCGTTTTAGCGACATTTATTTCTTGATCCACTGGATTCCCTTCAAAGGAACAAATTTCTGTACCGAATACATTTCGATCAAAGATTAAACTTATCTCTTCATCCGGAAACAGGTCTTCTCTCTTTCTAACGAGAAGGCTATCGCCGAGCTGCGTAGCTTCATAATCTGTTTCTCCTTGATGGTACGGTTTGATCTCACTTGTCTGGTTGCGATAACTCCGGTCATAAGTTTGTTCAAGCGAACTGAAAACATTGCGTTGACTACGTTCACCAACAAATACACTGATATTTTGTGTCGTTTTAGCGACATTTATTTCTTGATCCACTGGATTCACTTCAAAGGAACAATTTTCTGTACCAAATACATTTCGATCAAAGATTGAACTTATCTCTTCATCCGGAAACAGGTCTTCTTCTCTGTTGTTAACGAGAAGGCTATCGTCCAGCTGCATAGCTTGAAAATCTGGTTCTCCTTGATGGTACGGTTCGATCTCACTTGTCTGGTTGCGATAACTCCCGTCACCAGTTTGTTCAAACGAACTGAAAACATTGCGTTGACTACGTTCACCAACAAATACACTGATATTTTGTGTCGTTTTAGCGACATTTATTTCTTGATCCACTGGATTCACTTCAAAGGAACAATTTTCTGTACCGAATACATTTCGATCAAAGATTGAACTTATCTCTTTATCCGGAAACATGTCTTCTTCTCTGTTGTTAACCAGAATGACAACCTTCTCGAGGGGAACCTCCTCTTGATGAGTGTAATCGCTCATGACTAACTCTATAAAGAATCAGATGTCAAACAATTTCATGAATTTGCAACAAGACACTCAACATTTTAAAAAATTTATAGCCTACTGCTCTCCATGATATTTTTTTAAATTGATTACAGAGTCACAAAACTCGTTCTTAAGATATTATCATTTTCAGATCTTAACATGAAAGAGATTTTATTAGACCTCATAAATGACCTCATAAAACATGAATGACGTCATGACATACATGTTTTGTTAAATATTATGTGTTCACATTGCTCGTGAAGATAATTCGTGCACGAAGTTTCAACTTATGGAAACTGTCCTTTCTATTATTCTGGATGACAAACAGTAACTAAAAGATTCATCATTGACAATTCATAAAAATCAAACTCTTGAATCGCGTGTATTTTACATCATGTCGTATGATTTCTGCATGACCGAAATTAGAAAATATTTGTCATCGATTGATTCCCACAGTATAACAAAATCGAAAGATCGCAGTGATCTTCCCACCAAAATTTTCAAAACTAAAGACAATTTGGGTATCAAAAGTCAACATGTATTTTCGCTGATGTTTTGCTCATAAAGTAAGCGTCGAAATATAAGCAACTGACAAAGACAATGGCGAAGACTTCTGTTGCAAAGAATTAGTCTTAGTCAGAGTGTTAGTATTACTGATATCAGCAAAACAACGCGCTACAAGCTAACACATAGAACATGAAGGTATAAGAATGTCGTAAACTACATATATACCATAATATCAATAATACGTTTGATTTTATAGCTCAAATGCTCATGGTCAAATACTGAGGAGCTTGGTGATCTAAATCTAACTGTTTCAATTGCGGCCTTACGCTGCACTTCTCAGTATAAAAACTGACTTTAAAGATGAATATCTTCCTATTTAATAGAAAATGGTGATTTATATATTTAAAGTTGGTCAAATTAGTTTGTCGTATTGTAGAAAATCAAGGTCAATTGCTGTCGATTTAAGGTAGCAACAAACAAAATATTTTAGCCCAAAATCATCAGCGAAATAGATGAGTTTCCATGTAAAAGAATTTTACGAATTATAATATGTTAACCTCCATATTTGTTTGTGACGGCATTAAACCATTAGGAATACATCATAGCGAATGTTTGCGGAAATAACATTTAAAATTTATAGTTTGCGACAATAGGCATTTGAATTTATGAGTTCGATTCGATATGTTTTAAGTCACTGAAATCCAAGCAGTCTTCTACAGTTATTAAACAAGATTTACCTTTTGTTGAAAATATTAAGCACGATCTTCTCGACCACAATCTGTAACAATATATTGACGCCTATCCACGGAAATAATGTGCGCAACTTATGATCTATATGTGACAAAGAGAAATTCGACGTTGAGAGTTTAATTTCATGTTCATTCAGATAGCTAATACTTATTAAAACGAGATTTACCTTGTTTTCGAATTCCTGTGTTTCGCACTATCTTCTCAAAATTGCTGCTTGACGTCTTCCTCACCATAAGTGATAAGCAGCAACTGAATGACGAACAAACAATAAATTCCATGTATTTGGTAAACCAATAAATTTATTAGAAAATGAAAGCATTGATCACGTGAAAATGTCATATGATCTCTGCGTGACTAGAAATAATAAAAGATTAAATTTCATATCCGTAGAATCGTAGTGTTTCTACCAATAATTGAATTAAATTTGTTAAATTCGACAGACAAATGTCTTATTTTATCAGATGTAACATTACAAGGAAAGATGTCAATACAAAGTAAGACTTACCACGGTACAAGCAATTTTCTCATTCAACGGTGATTCCCCAGTTAATACTTGGGAATTCCCATTCACCTTTTAGTAATATGAAGGAACACTGCTAAGAGAACATTGTCTGAGAATTTCAGACTGCTTAACTCGATGACGTCAACCAACGAATAATGTTACTGAATAATGAGTGAAACTGATTATACCACTTTACGTGACCCCAATCTTTACAAGGCATTTGGTAAGTTATTATAAGTCTAGCACTTTGTTTGACTATCTGGGATGCAATTATAATTTGCAAAATAAACTTTTGGAGGAACTTTCTTTGTACCTGGTGTTTATATTGATTAGTTGGAAGAATGTTCATGGTTTTGAAGCCTGCACATGTATACTTAATACCTCTGACTGCGAATACCTTGAGGCACAGTTCATTCCTGTCAATAGAAGACTTGTGTCGATATGGAAAGAAAATAAGTTAAATGGATATCTCTCCCCTAAAATAACATAGACAATCTGTACTGGTTTTCTGTTTATAATCTGAGATTATACTTAATGTTAGAACAGTTAATTACACAACTATACAGAAATTTATGCTTATTCACATAACTAAGCAGACAACATACTTATGTTTCTCAATTAATGCTTTAATGCAATCAATTAGGTGTTGACCTAAGTCAACATACTTTAGTAGGTAAGCATTTACCATAGATTTACGTGTTCATGACGTTCTAATTTACACTATTCTGTAATAATGCAACAGTAATGCTTATGGTAACATTTTATAAAGACGACAGTTAATAAAGGGCAGAGGCTATACATGCCATGTCAAGTATCAATAGTCAAAGTTCTGAAATCGTTGACATCAAATCGAGCTCTTCGTATCTTTCACTGAAAGAAAAGTAGAACCAATTTTCAGGGTCATTATCATTATGCATCGTATCTTCTTCTGTGTTGTCAACGAGATGGCTGACGACGAGCTGCAATGATTGAAAATCCATTCGATCAAAGATTGAACTTATCTCTTCATCCGAAAACATGTCTTCTTCTCTGTTGTTAACGAGAAGGCTATCGTCGAGCTGCATAGCTTCAGAATGTGGTTCTCCTTGATGGTACGGTTCGAACTCACTTGTCTGGTTGCGATAACTCCCGTCACCAGTTTGTTCAAGAGAACTGAAAACATTGCGTTGATTAGGTTCCCCAACAAATACACTGATATTTTGTGTCATTTTAGCGACATTTATTTCTTGATCCACTGGATTCACTTCAAAGGAACAAATTTCTGTACCGAATACATTTCGATCAAAGATTGAACTTATCTCTTCATCCGGAAACAGGTCTTCTCTCTCTTTTAACGAGAAGGCTATCGTCCAGCTGCATAGCTTCATAATCTGGTTCTCCTTGATGGTACGGTTTGATCTCACTTGTCTGGTTGCGATAACTCCGTCACCAGTTTGTTCAATCGAACTGAAAACATTGCGTTGACTACGTTCACCAACAAATACACTGATATTTTGTGTCGTTTTAGCGACATTTATTTCTTGATCCACTGGATTCCTTCAAAGGAACAAATTTCTGTACCGAATACATTTCGATCAAAGATTAAACTTATCTCTTCATCCGGAAACAGGTCTCTCTTTCTAACGAGAAGGCTATCGCCGAGCTGCGTAGCTTCATAATCTGTTTCTCCTTGATGGTACGGTTTGATCTCACTTGTCTGGTTGCGATAACTCCGGTCATAAGTTTGTTCAAGCGAACTGAAAACATTGCGTTGACTACGTTCACCAACAAATACACTGATATTTTGTGTCGTTTTAGCGACATTTATTTCTTGATCCACTGGATTCACTTCAAAGGAACAATTTTCTGTACCAAATACATTTCGATCAAAGATTGAACTTATCTCTTCATCCGGAAACAGGTCTTCTTCTCTGTTGTTAACGAGAAGGCTATCGTCCAGCTGCATAGCTTGAAAATCTGGTTCTCCTTGATGGTACGGTTCGATCTCACTTGTCTGGTTGCGATAACTCCCGTCACCAGTTTGTTCAAACGAACTGAAAACATTGCGTTGACTACGTTCACCAACAAATACACTGATATTTTGTGTCGTTTTAGCGACATTTATTTCTTGATCCACTGGATTCACTTCAAAGGAACAATTTTCTGTACCGAATACATTTCGATCAAAGATTGAACTTATCTCTTTATCCGGAAACATGTCTTCTTCTCTGTTGTTAACCAGAATGACAACCTTCTCGAGGGAACCTCCTCTTGATGAGTGTAATCGCTCATGACTAACTCTATAAAGAATCAGATGTCAAACAATTTCATGAATTTGCAACAAGACACTCAACATTTTAAAAAATTTATAGCCTACTGCTCTCCATGATATTTTTTTAAATTGATTACAGAGTCACAAAACTCGTTCTTAAGATAATATCATTTTCAGATCTTAACATGAAAGAGATTTTATTAGACCTCATAAATGACCTCATAAAAACATGAATGACGTCATGACATACATGTTTTGTTAAATATTATGTGTTCACATTGCTCGTGAAGATAATTCGTGCACGAAGTTTCAACTTATGGAAACTGTCCTTTCTATTATTCTGGATGACAAACAGTAACTAAAAGATTCATCATTGACAATTCATAAAAATCAAACTCTTGAATCGCGTGTATTTTACATCATGTCGTATGATTTCTGCATGACCGAAATTAGAAAATATTTGTCATCGATTGATTCCCACAGTATAACAAAATCGAAAGATCGCAGTGATCTTCCCACCAAAATTTTCAAAACTAAAGACAATTTGGGTATCAAAAGTCAACATGTATTTTCGCTGATGTTTTGCTCATAAAGTAAGCGTCGAAATATAAGCAACTGACAAAGACAATGGCGAAGACTTCTGTTGCAAAGAATTAGTCTTAGTCAGAGTGTTAGTATTACTGATATCAGCAAAACAACGCGCTACAAGCTAACACATAGAACATGAAGGTATAAGAATGTCGTAAACTACATATATACCATTATATCAATAATACGTTTGATTTTATAGCTCAAATGCTCATGGTCAAATACTGAGGAGCTTGGTGATGTAAATCTAACTGTTTCAATTGCGGCCTTACGCTGCACTTCTCAGTATAAAACTGACTTTAAAGATGAATATCTTCCTATTTAATAGAAAATGGTGATTTATATATTTAAAGTTGGTCAAATTAGTTTGTCGTATTGTAGAAAATCAAGGTCAATTGCTGTCGATTTAAGGTAGCAACAAACAAAATATTTTAGCCCAAAATCATCAGCGAAATAGATGAGTTTCCATGTAAAAGAATTTTACGAATTATAATATGTTAACCTCCATATTTGTTTGTGACGGCATTAAACCATTAGGAATACATCATAGCGAATGTTTGCGGAAATAACATTTAAAATTTATAGTTTGCGACAAATAGGCATTTGAATTTATGAGTTCGATTCGATATGTTTTAAGTCACTGAAATCCAAGCAGTCTTCTACAGTTATTAAACAAGATTTACCTTTTGTTGAAAATATTAAGCACGATCTTCTCGACCACAATCTGTAACAATATATTGACGCCTATCCACGGAAATAATGTGCGCAACTTATGATCTATATGTGACAAAGAGAAATTCGACGTTGAGAGTTTAATTTCATGTTCATTCAGATAGCTAATACTTATTAAAACGAGATTTACCTTGTTTTCGAATTCCTGTGTTTCGCACTATCTTCTCAAAATTGCTGCTTGACGTCTTCCTCACCATAAGTGATAAGCAGCAACTGAATGACGAACAAACAATAAATTCCATGTATTTGGTAAACCAATAAATTTATTAGAAAATGAAAGCATTGATCACGTGAAAATGTCATATGATCTCTGCGTGACTAGAAATAATAAAAGATTAAATTTCATATCCGTAGAATCGTAGTGTTTCTACCAATAATTGAATTAAATTTGTTAAATTCGACAGACAAATGTCTTATTTTATCAGATGTAACATTACAAGGAAAGATGTCAATACAAAGTAAGACTTACCACGGTACAAGCAATTTTCTCATTCAACGGTGATTCCCCAGTTAATACTTGGGAATTCCCATTCACCTTTTTTAGTAATATGAAGGAACACTGCTAAGAGAACATTGTCTGAGAATTTCAGACTGCTTAACTCGATGACGTCAACCAACGAATAATGTTACTGAATAATGAGTGAAACTGATTATACCACTTTACGTGACCCCAATCTTTACAAGGCATTTGGTAAGTTATTATAAGTCTAGCACTTTGTTTGACTATCTGGGATGCAATTATAATTTGCAAAATAAACTTTTGGAGGAACTTTCTTTGTACCTGGTGTTTATATTGATTAGTTGGAAGAATGTTCATGGTTTTGAAGCCTGCACATGTATACTTAATACCTCTGACTGCGAATACCTTGAGGCACAGTTCATTCCTGTCAATAGAAGACTTGTGTCGATATGGAAAGAAAATAAGTTAAATGGATATCTCCTCCCCTAAAATAACATAGACAATCTGTACTGGTTTTCTGTTTATAATCTGAGATTATACTTAATGTTAGAACAGTTAATTACACAACTATACAGAAATTTATGCTTATTCACATAACTAAGCAGACAACATACTTATGTTTCTCAATTAATGCTTTAATGCAATCAATTAGGTGTTGACCTAAGTCAACATACTTTAGTAGGTAAGCATTTACCATAGATTTACGTGTTCATGACGTTCTAATTTACACTATTCTGTAATAATGCAACAGTAATGCTTATGGTAACATTTTATAAAGACGACAGTTATAAAGGGCAAAGGCTATACATGCCATGTCAAGTATCAATAGTCAAAGTTCTGAAATCGTTGACATCAAATCGAGCTCTTCGTATCTTTCACTGAAAGAAAAGTAGAACCAATTTTCAGGGTCATTATCATTATGCATCGTATCTTCTTCTGTGTTGTCAACGAGATGGCTGACGACGAGCTGCAATGATTGAAAATCCATTCGATCAAAGATTGAACTTATCTCTTCATCCGAAAACATGTCTTCTTCTCTGTTGTTAACGAGAAGGCTATCGTCGAGCTGCATAGCTTCAGAATGTGGTTCTCCTTGATGGTACGGTTCGAACTCACTTGTCTGGTTGCGATAACTCCCGTCACCAGTTTGTTCAAGAGAACTGAAAACATTGCGTTGATTAGGTTCCCCAACAAATACACTGATATTTTGTGTCATTTTAGCGACATTTATTTCTTGATCCACTGGATTCACTTCAAAGGAACAATTTTCTGTACCAAATACATTTCGATCAAAGATTGAACTTATCTCTTCATCCGGAAACAGGTTTTCCTCTCTCTTTTTAACGACAAGGCTATCGTCCAGCTGCATAGCTTGAAAATCTGGTTCTCCTTGATGGTACGGTTCGATCTCACTTGTCTGGTTGCGATAACTCCCGTCACCAGTTTGTTCAATCGAACTGAAAACATTGCGTTGACTACGTTCACCAACAAATACACTGATATTTTGTGTCGTTTTAGCGACATTTATTTCTTGATCCACTGGATTCACTTCAAAGGAACATTTTTCTGTACCAAATACATTTCGATCAAAGATTAAACTTATCTCTTCATCCGGAAACAGGTCTTCTTCTCTGTTGTTAACGAGAAGGCTATCGTCCAGCTGCATAGCTTGAAAATCTTGTTCTCCTTGATGGTACGGTTTGATCTCACTTGTCTGGTTGCGATAACTCCGGTCACCAGTTTGTTCAAGCGAACTGAAAACATTGCGTTGACTACGTTCACCAACAAATACACTGATATTTTGTGTCGTTTTAGCGACATTTATTTCTTGATCCACTGGATTCCTTCAAAGGAACAAATTTCTGTACCGAATACATTTCGATCAAAGATTAAACTTATCTCTTCATCCGGAAACAGGTCTTCTCTCTTTCTAACGAGAAGGCTATCGCCGAGCTTCATAATCTGTTTCTCCTTGATGGTACGGTTTGATCTCACTTGTCTGGTTGCGATAACAGTTTGTTCAACGAACTGAAAACATTGCGTTGACTACGTTCACCAACAAATACACTGATATGGTTTTAGCGACATTTATTTCTTGATCCACCTTCATCCGGAAACAGCTGCGTAGCTTCATAATCTGTTTCTCCTTGATGGTACGGTTTGATCTCACTTGTCTGGTTGCGATAACTCCGGTCATAAGTTTGTTCAAGCGAACTGAAAACATTGCGTTGACTACGTTCACCAACAAATACACTGATATTTTGTGTCGTTTTAGCGACATTTATTTCTTGATCCACTGGATTCACTTCAAAGGAACAATTTTCTGTACCAAATACATTTCGATCAAAGATTGAACTTATCTCTTCATCCGGAAACAGGTCTTCTTCTCTGTTGTTAACGAGAAGGCTATCGTCTAGCTGCATAGCTTGAAAATCTGGTTCTCCTTGATGGTACGGTTCGATCTCACTTGTCTGGTTGCGATAACTCCCGTCACCAGTTTGTTCAAACGAATTGAAAACATTGCGTTGACTACGTTCACCAACAAATACACTGATATTTTGTGTCGTTTTAGCGACATTTATTTCTTGATCCACTGGATTCACTTCAAAGGAACAATTTTCTGTACCGAATACATTTCGATCAAAGATTGAACTTATCTCTTTATCCGGAAACATGTCTTCTTCTCTGTTGTTAACCAGAATGACAACCTTCTCGAGGGAACCTCCTCTTGATGAGTGTAATCGCTCATGACTAACTCTATAAAGAATCAGATGTCAAACAATTTCATGAATTTGCAACAAGACACTCAACATTTTAAAAAATTTATAGCCTACTGCTCTCCATGATATTTTTTTAAATTGATTACAGAGTCACAAAACTCGTTCTTAAGATAATATCATTTTCAGATCTTAACATGAAAGAGATTTTATTAGACCTCATAAATGACCTCATAAAACATGAATGACGTCATGACATACATGTTTTGTTAAATATTATGTGTTCACATTGCTCGTGAAGATAATTCGTGCACGAAGTTTCAACTTATGGAAACTGTCCTTTCTATTATTCTGGATGACAAACAGTAACTAAAAAAGATTCATCATTGACAATTCATAAAAATCAAACTCTTGAATCGCGTGTATTTTACATCATGTCGTATGATTTCTGCATGACCGAAATTAGAAAATATTTGTCATCGATTGATTCCCACAGTATAACAAAAATCGAAAGATCGCAGTGATCTTCCCACCAAAATTTTCAAAACTAAAGACAATTTGGGTATCAAAAGTCAACATGTATTTTCGCTGATGTTTTGCTCATAAAGTAAGCGTCGAAATATAAGCAACTGACAAAGACAATGGCGAAGACTTCTGTTGCAAAGAATTAGTCTTAGTCAGAGTGTTAGTATTACTGATATCAGCAAAACAACGCGCTACAAGCTAACACATAGAACATGAAGGTATAAGAATGTCGTAAACTACATATATACCATTATATCAATAATACGTTTGATTTTATAGCTCAAATGCTCATGGTCAAATACTGAGGAGCTTGGTGATGTAAATCTAACTGTTTCAATTGCGGCCTTACGCTGCACTTCTCAGTATAAAACTGACTTTAAAGATGAATATCTTCCTATTTAATAGAAAATGGTGATTTATATATTTAAAGTTGGTCAAATTAGTTTGTCGTATTGTAGAAAATCAAGGTCAATTGCTGTCGATTTAAGGTAGCAACAAACAAAATATTTTAGCCCAAAATCATCAGCGAAATAGATGAGTTTCCATGTAAAAGAATTTTACGAATTATAATATGTTAACCTCCATATTTGTTTGTGACGGCATTAAACCATTAGGAATACATCATAGCGAATGTTTGCGGAAATAACATTTAAAATTTATAGTTTGCGACAAATATGCATTTGAATTTATGAGTTCGATTCGATATGTTTTAAGTCACTGAAATCCAAGCAGTCTTCTACAGTTATTAAACAAGATTTACCTTTTGTTGAAAATATTAAGCACGATCTTCTCGACCACAATCTGTAACAATATATTGACGCCTATCCACGGAAATAATGTGCGCAACTTATGATCTATATGTGACAAAGAGAAATTCGACGTTGAGAGTTTAATTTCATGTTCATTCAGATAGCTAATACTTATTAAAACGAGATTTACCTTGTTTTCGAATTCCTGTGTTTCGCACTATCTTCTCAAAATTGCTGCTTGACGTCTTCCTCACCATAAGTGATAAGCAGCAACTGAATGACGAACAAACAATAAATTCCATGTATTTGGTAAACCAATAAATTTATTAGAAAATGAAAGCATTGATCACGTGAAAATGTCATATGATCTCTGCGTGACTAGAAATAATAAAAGATTAAATTTCATATCCGTAGAATCGTAGTGTTTCTACCAATAATTGAATTAAATTTGTTAAATTCGACAGACAAATGTCTTATTTTATCAGATGTAACATTACAAGGAAAGATGTCAATACAAAGTAAGACTTACCACGGTACAAGCAATTTTCTCATTCAACGGTGATTCCCCAGTTAATACTTGGGAATTCCCATTCACCTTTTTTAGTAATATGAAGGAACACTGCTAAGAGAACATTGTCTGAGAATTTCAGACTGCTTAACTCGATGACGTCAACCAACGAATAATGTTACTGAATAATGAGTGAAACTGATTATACCACTTTACGTGACCCCAATCTTTACAAGGCATTTGGTAAGTTATTATAAGTCTAGCACTTTGTTTGACTATCTGGGATGCAATTATAATTTGCAAAATAAACTTTTGGAGGAACTTTCTTTGTACCTGGTGTTTATATTGATTAGTTGGAAGAATGTTCATGGTTTTGAAGCCTGCACATGTATACTTAATACCTCTGACTGCGAATACCTTGAGGCACAGTTCATTCCTGTCAATAGAAGACTTGTGTCGATATGGAAAGAAAATAAGTTAAATGGATATCTCCTCCCCTAAAATAACATAGACAATCTGTACTGGTTTTCTGTTTATAATCTGAGATTATACTTAATGTTAGAACAGTTAATTACACAACTATACAGAAATTTATGCTTATTCACATAACTAAGCAGACAACATACTTATGTTTCTCAATTAATGCTTTAATGCAATCAATTAGGTGTTGACCTAAGTCAACATACTTAAGTAGGTAAGTATTTACCATAGATTTACGTGTTCATGACGTTCTAATTTACACTATTCTGTAATAATGCAACAGTAATGCTTATGGTAACATTTTATAAAGACGACAGTTACTAAAGGGCAAAGGCTATACATGCCATGTCAAGTATCAATAGTCAAAGTTCTGAAATCGTTGACATCAAATCGAGCTCTTCGTATCTTTCACTGAAAGAAAAGTAGAACCAATTTTCAGGGTCATTATCATTATGCATCGTATCTTCTTCTGTGTTGTCAACGAGATGGCTGACGACGAGCTGCAATGATTGAAAATCCATTCGATCAAAGATTGAACTTATCTCTTCATCCGAAAACATGTCTTCTTCTCTGTTGTTAACGAGAAGGCTATCGTCGAGCTGCATAGCTTCAGAATGTGGTTCTCCTTGATGGTACGGTTCGAACTCACTTGTCTGGTTGCGATAACTCCCGTCACCAGTTTGTTCAAGAGAACTGAAAACATTGCGTTGATTAGGTTCCCCAACAAATACACTGATATTTTGTGTCATTTTAGCGACATTTATTTCTTGATCCACTGGATTCACTTCAAAGGAACAAATTTCTGTACCAAATACATTTCGATCAAAGATTGAACTTATCTCTTCATCCGGAAACAGGTTTTCTCTCTCTTTTAACGACAAGGCTATCGTCCAGCTGCATAGCTTGAAAATCTGGTTCTCCTTGATGGTACGGTTCGATCTCACTTGTCTGGTTGCGATAACTCCGTCACCAGTTTGTTCAATCGAACTGAAAACATTGCGTTGACTACGTTCACCAACAAATACACTGATATTTTGTGTCGTTTTAGCGACATTTATTTCTTGATCCACTGGATTCACTTCAAAGGAACATTTTTCTGTACCAAATACATTTCGATCAAAGATTGAACTTATCTCTTCATCCGGAAGCAGGTCTTCTTCTCTGTTGTTAACGAAGGCTATCGTCCAGCTGCATAGCTTGAAAATCTTGTTCTCCTTGATGGTACGGTTTGATCTCACTTGTCTGGTTGCGATAACTCCGGTCACAAGTTTGTTCAAGCGAACTGAAAACATTGCGTTGACTACGTTCACCAACAAATACACTGATATTTTGTGTCGTTTTAGCGACATTTATTTCTTGATCCACTGGATTCCCTTCAAAGGAACAAATTTCTGTACCGAATACATTTCGATCAAAGATTAAACTTATCTCTTCATCAGGTCTTCTTCTCTCTTTCTAACGAGAAGGCTATCGCCGAGCTGCGTAGCTTCATAATCTGTTTCTCCTTGATGGTACGGTTTGATCTCACTTGTCTGGTTGCGATAACTCCGGTCATAAGTTTGTTCAAGCGAACTGAAAACATTGCGTTGACTACGTTCACCAACAAATACACTGATATTTTGTGTCGTTTTAGCGACATTTATTTCTTGATCCACTGGATTCACTTCAAAGGAACAATTTTCTGTACCAAATACATTTCGATCAAAGATTGAACTTATCTCTTCATCCGGAAACAGGTCTTCTTCTCTGTTGTTAACGAGAAGGCTATCGTCCAGCTGCTTAGCTTGAAAATCTGGTTCTCCTTGATGGTACGGCTCGATCTCACTTGTCTGGTTGCGATAACTCCCGTCACCAGCTTGTTCAAACGAATTGAAAACATTGCGTTGACTACGTTCACCAACAAATACACTGATATTTTGTGTCGTTTTAGCGACATTTATTTCTTGATCCACTGGATTCACTTCAAAGGAACAATTTTCTGTACCGAATACATTTCGATCAAAGATTGAACTTATCTCTTTATCCGGAAACATGTCTTCTTCTCTGTTGTTAACCAGAATGACAACCTTCTCGAGGGGAACCTCCTCTTGATGAGTGTAATCGCTCATGACTAACTCTATAAAGAATCAGATGTCAAACAATTTCATGAATTTGCAACAAGACACTCAACATTTTAAAAAATTTATAGCCTACTGCTCTCCATGATATTTTTAAATTGATTACAGAGTCACAAAACTCGTTCTTAAGATAATATCATTTTCAGATCTTAACATGAAAGAGATTTTATTAGACCTCATAAATGACCTCATAAAAACATGAATGACGTCATGACATACATGTTTTGTTAAATATTATGTGTTCACATTGCTCGTGAAGATAATTCGTGCACGAAGTTTCAACTTATGGAAACTGTCCTTTCTATTATTCTGGATGACAAACAGTAACTAAAAAAGATTCATCATTGACAATTCATAAAAATCAAACTCTTGAATCGCGTGTATTTTTACATCATGTCGTATGATTTCTGCATGACCGAAATTAGAAAATATTTGTCATCGATTGATTCCACAGTATAACAAAAATCGAAAGATCGCAGTGATCTTCCCACCAAAATTTTCAAAACTAAAGACAATTTGGGTATCAAAAGTCAACATGTATTTTCGCTGATGTTTTGCTCATAAAGTAAGCGTCGAAATATAAGCAACTGACAAAGACAATGGCGAAGACTTCTGTTGCAAAGAATTAGTCTTAGTCAGAGTGTTAGTATTACTGATATCAGCAAAACAACGCGCTACAAGCTAACACATAGAACATGAAGGTATAAGAATGTCGTAAACTACATATATACCATTATATCAATAATACGTTTGATTTTATAGCTCAAATGCTCATGGTCAAATACTGAGGAGCTTGGTGATGTAAATCTAACTGTTTCAATTGCGGCCTTACGCTGCACTTCTCAGTATAAAACTGACTTTAAAGATGAATATCTTCCTATTTAATAGAAAATGGTGATTTATATATTTAAAGTTGGTCAAATTAGTTTGTCGTATTGTAGAAAATCAAGGTCAATTGCTGTCGATTTAAGGTAGCAACAAACAAAATATTTTAGCCCAAAATCATCAGCGAAATAGATGAGTTTCCATGTAAAAGAATTTTACGAATTATAATATGTTAACCTCCATATTTGTTTGTGACGGCATTAAACCATTAGGAATACATCATAGCGAATGTTTGCGGAAATAACATTTAAAATTTATAGTTTGCGACAAATATGCATTTGAATTTATGAGTTCGATTCGATATGTTTTAAGTCACTGAAATCCAAGCAGTCTTCTACAGTTATTAAACAAGATTTACCTTTTGTTGAAAATATTAAGCACGATCTTCTCGACCACAATCTGTAACAATATATTGACGCCTATCCACGGAAATAATGTGCGCAACTTATGATCTATATGTGACAAAGAGAAATTCGACGTTGAGAGTTTAATTTCATGTTCATTCAGATAGCTAATACTTATTAAAACGAGATTTACCTTGTTTTCGAATTCCTGTGTTTCGCACTATCTTCTCAAAATTGCTGCTTGACGTCTTCCTCACCATAAGTGATAAGCAGCAACTGAATGACGAACAAACAATAAATTCCATGTATTTGGTAAACCAATAAATTTATTAGAAAATGAAAGCATTGATCACGTGAAAATGTCATATGATCTCTGCGTGACTAGAAATAATAAAAGATTAAATTTCATATCCGTAGAATCGTAGTGTTTCTACCAATAATTGAATTAAATTTGTTAAATTCGACGGACAAATGTCTTATTTTATCAGATGTAACATTACAAGGAAAGATGTCAATACAAAGTAAGACTTACCACGGTACAAGCAATTTTCTCATTCAACGGTGATTCCCCAGTTAATACTTGGGAATTCCCATTCACCTTTTTTTTAGTAATATGAAGGAACACTGCTAAGAGAACATTGTCTGAGAATTTCAGACTGCTTAACTCGATGACGTCAACCAACGAATAATGTTACTGAATAATGAGTGAAACTGATTATACCACTTTACGTGACCCCAATCTTTACAAGGCATTTGGTAAGTTATTATAAGTCTAGCACTTTGTTTGACTATCTGGGATGCAATTATAATTTGCAAAAATAAACTTTTGGAGGAACTTTCTTTGTACCTGGTGTTTATATTGATTAGTTGGAAGAATGTTCATGGTTTTTGAAGCCTGCACATGTATACTTAATACCTCTGACTGCGAATACCTTGAGGCACAGTTCATTCCTGTCAATAGAAGACTTGTGTCGATATGGAAAGAAAATAAGTTAAATGGTATCTCCCCCCCCTCCCCCTCCCCCTAAAATAACATAGACAATCTGTACTGGTTTTCTGTTTATAATCTGAGATTATACTTAATGTTAGAACAGTTAATTACACAACTATACAGAAATTTATGCTTATTCACATAACTAAGCAGACCACATACTTATGTTTCTCAATTAATGCTTTAATGCAATCAATTAGGTGTTGACCTAAGTCAACATACTTTAGTAGGTAAGCATTTACCATAGATTTACGTGTTCATGACGTTCTAATTTACACTATTCTGTAATAATTCAACAGTAATGCTTATGGTAACATTTTATAAAGACGACAGCTATTAAAGGGCAAAGGCTATACATGCCATGTCAAGTATCAATAGTCAAAGTTCTGAAATCGTTGACATCAAATCGAGCTCTTCGTATCTTTCACTGAAAGAAAAGTAGAACCAATTTTCAGGGTCATTATCATTATGCATCGTATCTTCTTCTGTGTTGTCAACGAGATGGCTGACGACGAGCTGCAATGATTGAAAATCCATTCGATCAAAGATTGAACTTATCTCTTCATCCGAAAACATGTCTTCTTCTCTGTTGTTAACGAAAAGGCTATCGTCGAGCTGCATAGCTTCAGAATGTGGTTCTCCTTGATGGTACGGTTCGATCTCACTTGTCTGGTTGGATAACTCCCGTCACCAGTTTGTTCAAGAGAACTGAAAACATTGCGTTGATTAGGTTCCCCAACAAATACACTGATATTTTGTGTCATTTTAGCGACATTTATTTCTTGATCCACTGGATTCACTTCAAAGGAACAAATTTCTGTACAGAATACATTTCGATCAAAGATTAAACTTATCTCTTTATCCGGAAACATGTCTTCTTCTCTGTTGTTAACCAGAATGACAACCTTCTCGAGGGGAACCTCCTCTTGATGGGTGTAATCGCTCATGACTAACTCTATAAAGAATCAGATGTCAAACAATTTCATGAATTTGCAACAAGACACTCAACATTTTAAAAAATTTATAGCCTACTGCTCTCCATGATATTTTTTTAAATTGATTACAGAGTCACAAAACTCGTTCTTAAGATATTATCATTTTCAGATCTTAACATGAAAGAGATTTTATTAGACCTCATAAATGACCTCATAAAAACATGAATGACGTCATGATATACATGTTTTGTTAAATATTATGTGTTAACATTGCTCGTGAAGATAATTCGTGCACGAAGTTTCAACTTATGGAAACTGTCCTTTCTATTATTCTGGATGACAAACAGTAACTAAAAACGATTCATCATTGACAATTCATAAAAATCAAACTCTTGAATCGCGTGTATTTTTACATCATGTCGTATGATTTCTGCATGACCGAAATTAGAAAATATTTGTCATCGATTGATTCCCACAGTATAACAAAAATCGAAAGATCGCAGTGATCTTCCCACCAAAATTTTCAAAACTAAAGACAATTTGGGTATCAAAAGTCAACATGTATTTTCGCTGATGTTTTGCTCATAAAGTAAGCGTGGAAATATAAGCAACTGACAAAGACAATGGCGAAGACTTCTGTTGCAAAGAATTAGTCTTAGTCAGAGTGTTAGTATTACTGATATCAGCAAAACAACGCGCTACAAGCTAACACATAGAACATGAAGGTATAAGAATGTCGTAAACTACATATATACCATTATATCAATAATACGTTTGATTTTATAGCTCAAATGCTCATGGTCAAATACTGAGGAGCTTGGTGATGTAAATCTAACTGTTTCAATTGCGGCCTTACGCTGCACTTCTCAGTATAAAACTGACTTTAAAGATGAATATCTTCCTATTTAATAGAAAATGGTGATTTATATATTTAAAGTTGGTCAAATTAGTTTGTCGTATTGTAGAAAATCAAGGTCAATTGCTGTCGATTTAAGGTAGCAACAAACAAAATATTTTAGCCCAAAATCATCAGCGAAATAGATGAGTTTCCATGTAAAAGAATTTTACGAATTATAATATGTTAACCTCCATATTTGTTTGTGACGGCATTAAACCATTAGGAATACATCATAGCGAATGTTTGCGGAAATAACATTTAAAATTTATAGTTTGCGACAAATATGCATTTGAATTTATGAGTTCGATTCGATATGTTTTAAGTCACTGAAATCCAAGCAGTCTTCTACAGTTATTAAACAAGATTTACCTTTTGTTGAAAATATTAAGCACGATCTTCTCGACCACAATCTGTAACAATATATTGACGCCTATCCACGGAAATAATGTGCGCAACTTATGATCTATATGTGACAGAGAAATTCGACGTTGAGAGTTTAATTTCATGTTCATTCAGATAGCTAATACTTATTAAAACGAGATTTACCTTGTTTTCGAATTCCTGTGTTTCGCACTATCTTCTCAAAATTGCTGCTTGACGTCTTCCTCACCATAAGTGATAAGCAGCAACTGAATGACGAACAAACAATAAATTCCATGTATTTGGTAAACCAATAAATTTATTAGAAAATGAAAGCATTGATCACGTGAAAAATGTCATATGATCTCTGCGTGACTAGAAATAATAAAAGATTAAATTTCATATCCGTAGAATCGTAGTGTTTCTACCAATAATTGAATTAAATTTGTTAAATTCGACAGACAAATGTCTTATTTTATCAGATGTAACATTACAAGGAAAGATGTCAATACAAAGTAAGACTTACCACGGTACAAGCAATTTTCTCATTCAACGGTGATTCCCCAGTTAATACTTGGGAATTCCCATTCACCTTTTTTAGTAATATGAAGGAACACTGCTAAGAGAACATTGTCTGAGAATTTCAGACTGCTTAACTCGATGACGTCAACCAACGAATAATGTTACTGAATAATGAGTGAAACTGATTATACCACTTTACGTGACCCCAATCTTTACAAGGCATTTGGTAAGTTATTATAAGTCTAGCACTTTGTTTGACTATCTGGGATGCAATTATAATTTGCAAAAATAAACTTTTGGAGGAACTTTCTTTGTACCTGGTGTTTATATTGATTAGTTGGAAGAATGTTCATGGTTTTTGAAGCCTGCACATGTATACTTAATACCTCTGACTGCGAATACCTTGAGGCACAGTTCATTCCTGTCAATAGAAGACTTGTGTCGATATGGAAAGAAAATAAGTTAAATGGATATCTCCCCCCCCTCCCCCTAAAATAACATAGACAATCTGTACTGGTTTTCTGTTTATAATCTGAGATTATACTTAATGTTAGAACAGTTAATTACACAACTATACAGAAATTTATGTTTATTCACATAACTAAGAAGACAACATACATATGTTTCTCAATTAATGCTTTAATGCAATCAATTAGGTGTTGACCTAAGTCAACATACTTAAGTAGGTAAGTATTTACCATAGATTTACGTGTTCATGACGTTCTAATTTACACTATTCTGTAATAATGCAACAGTAATGCTTATGGTAACATTTTATAAAGACGACAGTTACTAAAGGGCAGAGGCTATACATGCCATGTCAAGTATCAATAGTCAAAGTTCTGAAATCGTTGACATCAAATCGAGCTCTTCGTATCTTTCACTGAAAGAAAAGTAGAACCAATTTTCAGGGTCATTATCATTATGCATCGTATCTTCTTCTGTGTTGTCAACGAGATGGCTGACGACGAGCTGCAATGATTGAAAATCCATTCGATCAAAGATTGAACTTATCTCTTCATCCGAAAACATGTCTTCTTCTCTGTTGTTAACGAGAAGGCTATCGTCGAGCTGCATAGCTTCAGAATGTGGTTCTCCTTGATGGTACGGTTCGAACTCACTTGTCTGGTTGCGATAACTCCCGTCACCAGTTTGTTCAAGAGAACTGAAAACATTGCGTTGATTAGGTTCCCCAACAAATACACTGATATTTTGTGTCATTTTAGCGACATTTATTTCTTGATCCACTGGATTCACTTCAAAGGAACAAATTTCTGTACCGAATACATTTCGATCAAAGATTGAACTTATCTCTTCATCCGGAAACAGGTCTTCTCTCTTTCTAACGAGAAGGCTATCGCCGAGCTGCATAGCTTCATAATCTGGTTCTCCTTGATGGTACGGTTTGATCTCACTTGTCTGGTTGCGATAACTCCGGTCACAAGTTTGTTCAAGCGAACTGAAAACATTGCGTTGACTACGTTCACCAACAAATACACTGATATTTTGTGTCGTTTTAGCGACATTTATTTCTTGATCCACTGGATTCCCTTCAAAGGAACAAATTTCTGTACCGAATACATTTCGATCAAAGATTAAACTTATCTCTTCATCCGGAAACAGGTCTTCTTCTCTCTTTCTAACGAGAAGGCTATCGCCGAGCTGCGTAGCTTCATAATCTGTTTCTCCTTGATGGTACGGTTTGATCTCACTTGTCTGGTTGCGATAACTCCGGTCATAAGTTTGTTCAAGCGAACTGAAAACATTGCGTTGACTACGTTCACCAACAAATACACTGATATTTTGTGTCGTTTTAGCGACATTTATTTCTTGATCCACTGGATTCACTTCAAAGGAACAATTTTCTGTACCAAATACATTTCGATCAAAGATTGAACTTATCTCTTCATCCGGAAACAGGTCTTCTTCTCTGTTGTTAACGAGAAGGCTATCGTCCAGCTGCATAGCTTCAAAATCTGGTTCTCCTTGATGGTACGGTTCGATCTCACTTGTCTGGTTGCGATAACTCCCGTCACCAGTTTGTTCAAACGAACTGAAAACATTGCGTTGACTACGTTCACCAACAAATACACTGATATTTTGTGTCGTTTTAGCGACATTTATTTCTTGATCCACTGGATTCACTTCAAAGGAACAATTTTCTGTACCGAATACATTTCGATCAAAGATTGAACTTATCTCTTTATCCGGAAACATGTCTTCTTCTCTGTTGTTAACCAGAATGACAACCTTCTCGAGGGGAACCTCCTCTTGATGAGTGTAATCGCTCATGACTAACTCTATAAAGAATCAGATGTCAAACAATTTCATGAATTTGCAACAAGACACTCAACATTTTAAAAAATTTATAGCCTACTGCTCTCCATGATATTTTTTTAAATTGATTACAGAGTCACAAAACTCGTTCTTAAGATAATATCATTTTCAGATCTTAACATGAAAGAGATTTTATTAGACCTCATAAATGACCTCATAAAAACATGAATGACGTCATGACATACATGTTTTGTTAAATATTATGTGTTCACATTGCTCGTGAAGATAATTCGTGCACGAAGTTTCAACTTATGGAAACTGTCCTTTCTATTATTCTGGATGACAAACAGTAACTAAAAGATTCATCATTGACAATTCATAAAAATCAAACTCTTGAATCGCGTGTATTTTACATCATGTCGTATGATTTCTGCATGACCGAAATTAGAAAATATTTGTCATCGATTGATTCCCACAGTATAACAAAAATCGAAAGATCGCAGTGATCTTCCCACCAAAATTTTCAAAACTAAAGACAATTTGGGTATCAAAAGTCAACATGTATTTTCGCTGATGTTTTGCTCATAAAGTAAGCGTCGAAATATAAGCAACTGACAAAGACAATGGCGAAGACTTCTGTTGCAAAGAATTAGTCTTAGTCAGAGTGTTAGTATTACTGATATCAGCAAAACAACGCGCTACAAGCTAACACATAGAACATGAAGGTATAAGAATGTCGTAAACTACATATATACCATTATATCAATAATACGTTTGATTTTATAGCTCAAATGCTCATGGTCAAATACTGAGGAGCTTGGTGATGTAAATCTAACTGTTTCAATTGCGGCCTTACGCTGCACTTCTCAGTATAAAACTGACTTTAAAGATGAATATCTTCCTATTTAATAGAAAATGGTGATTTATATATTTAAAGTTGGTCAAATTAGTTTGTCGTATTGTAGAAAATCAAGGTCAATTGCTGTCGATTTAAAGTAGCAACAAACAAAATATTTTAGCCCAAAATCATCAGCGAAATAGATGAGTTTCCATGTAAAAGAATTTTACGAATTATAATATGTTAACCTCCATATTTGTTTGTGACGGCATTAAACCATTAGGAATACATCATAGCGAATGTTTGCGGAAATAACATTTAAAATTTATAGTTTGCGACAAATATGCATTTGAATTTATGAGTTCGATTCGATATGTTTTAAGTCACTGAAATCCAAGCAGTCTTCTACAGTTATTAAACAAGATTTACCTTTTGTTGAAAATATTAAGCACGATCTTCTCGACCACAATCTGTAACAATATATTGACGCCTATCCACGGAAATAATGTGCGCAACTTATGATCTATATGTGACAAAGAGAAATTCGACGTTGATAGTTTAATTTCATGTTCATTCAGATAGCTAATACTTATTAAAACGAGATTTACCTTGTTTTCGAATTCCTGTGTTTCGCACTATCTTCTCAAAATTGCTGCTTGACGTCTTCCTCACCATAAGTGATAAGCAGCAACTGAATGACGAACAAACAATAAATTCCATGTATTTGGTAAACCAATAAATTTATTAGAAAATGAAAGCATTGATCACGTGAAAATGTCATATGATCTCTGCGTGACTAGAAATAATAAAAGATTAAATTTCATATCCGTAGAATCGTAGTGTTTCTACCAATAATTGAATTAAATTTGTTAAATTCGACAGACAAATGTCTTATTTTATCAGATGTAACATTACAAGGAAAGATGTCAATACAAAGTAAGACTTACCACGGTACAAGCAATTTTCTCATTCAACGGTGATTCCCCAGTTAATACTTGGGAATTCCCATTCACCTTTTAGTAATATGAAGGAACACTGCTAAGAGAACATTGTCTGAGAATTTCAGACTGCTTAACTCGATGACGTCAACCAACGAATAATGTTACTGAATAATGAGTGAAACTGATTATACCACTTTACGTGACCCCAATCTTTACAAGGCATTTGGTAAGTTATTATAAGTCTAGCACTTTGTTTGACTATCTGGGATGCAATTATAATTTGCAAAAATAAACTTTTGGAGGAACTTTCTTTGTACCTGGTGTTTATATTGATTAGTTGGAAGAATGTTCATGGTTTTTGAAGCCTGCACATGTATACTTAATACCTCTGACTGCGAATACCTTGAGGCACAGTTCATTCCTGTCAATAGAAGACTTGTGTCGATATGGAAAGAAAATAAGTTAAATGGATATCTCCCCTAAAATAACATAGACAATCTGTACTGGTTTTCTGTTTATAATCTGAGATTATACTTAATGTTAGAACAGTTAATTACACAACTATACAGAAATTTATGTTTATTCACATAACTAAGAAGACAACATACATATGTTTCTCAATTAATGCTTTAATGCAATCAATTAGGTGTTGACCTAAGTCAACATACTTAAGTAGGTAAGTATTTACCATAGATTTACGTGTTCATGACGTTCTAATTTACACTATTCTGTAATAATGCAACAGTAATGCTTATGGTAACATTTTATAAAGACGACAGTTACTAAAGGGCAGAGGCTATACATGCCATGTCAAGTATCAATAGTCAAAGTTCTGAAATCGTTGACATCAAATCGAGCTCTTCGTATCTTTCACTGAAAGAAAAGTAGAACCAATTTTCAGGGTCATTATCATTATGCATCGTATCTTCTTCTGTGTTGTCAACGAAATGGCTGACGACGAGCTGCAATGATTGAAAATCCATTCGATCAAAGATTGAACTTATCTCTTCATCCGAAAACATGTCTTCTTCTCTGTTGTTAACGAGAAGGCTATCGTCGAGCTGCATAGCTTCAGAATGTGGTTCTCCTTGATGGTACGGTTCGAACTCACTTGTCTGGTTGGATAACTCCCGTCACCAGTTTGTTCAAGAGAACTGAAAACATTGCGTTGATTAGGTTCCCCAACAAATACACTGATATTTTGTGTCATTTTAGCGACATTTATTTCTTGATCCACTGGATTCACTTCAAAGGAACAAATTTCTGTACAGAATACATTTCGATCAAAGATTAAACTTATCTCTTCATCCGGAAACAGGTCTTCTTCTCTGTTGTTAACGAGAAGGCTATCGTCCAGCTGCATAGCTTCAAAATCTGGTTCTCCTTGATGGTACGGTTCGATCTCACTTGTCTGGTTGCGATAACTCCCGTCACCAGTTTGTTCAATCGAACTGAAAACATTGCGTTGACTACGTTCACCAACAAATACACTGATATTTTGTGTCATTTTAGCGACATTTATTTCTTGATCCACTGGATTCACGCCAAAGGAACAATTTTCTGTACCAAATACATTTCCATCAAAGATTGAACTTATCTCTTCATCCGGAAACAGGTTTCCTTCTCTCTTTTAACGACAAGGCTATCGTCCAGCTGCATAGCTTGAAAATCTGGTTCTCCTTGATGGTACGGTTCGATCTCACTTGTCTGGTTGCGATAACTCCCGTCACCAGTTTGTTCAATCGAACTGAAAACATTGCGTTGACTACGTTCACCAACAAATACACTGATATTTTGTGTCGTTTTAGCGACATTTATTTCTTGATCCACTGGATTCACTTCAAAGGAACAACTTTCTGTACCAAATACATTTCGATCAAAGATTGAACTTATCTCTTCATCCGGAAACAGGTCTTCTTCTCTGTTGTTAACGAGAAGGCTATCGTCCAGCTGCATAGCTTGAAAATCTTGTTCTCCTTGATGGTACGGTTTGATCTCACTTGTCTGGTTGCGATAACTCCGGTCACAAGTTTGTTCAAGCGAACTGAAAACATTGCGTTGACTACGTTCACCAACAAATACACTGATATTTTGTGTCGTTTTAGCGACATTTATTTCTTGATCCACTGGATTCACTTCAAAGGAACAATTTTCTGTACCAAATACATTTCGATCAAAGATTGAACTTATCTCTTCATCCGGAAACAGGTCTTCTTCTCTCTTTCTAACGAGAAGGCTATCGCCGACCTGCGTAGCTTCATAATCTGTTTCTCCTTGATGGTACGGTTTGATCTCACTTGTCTGGTTGCGATAACTCCGGTCATAAGTTTGTTCAAGCGAACTGAAAACATTGCGTTGACTACGTTCACCAACAAATACACTGATATTTTGTGTCGTTTTAGCGACATTTATTTCTTGATCCACTGGATTCACTTCAAAGGAACAATTTTCTGTACCAAATACATTTCGATCAAAGATTGAACTTATCTCTTCATCCGGAAACAGGTCTTCTTCTCTGTTGTTAACGAGAAGGCTATCGTCCAGCTGCATAGCTTGAAAATCTGGTTCTCCTTGATGGTACGGTTCGATTTCACTTGTCTGGTTGCGATAACTCCCGTCACCAGTTTGTTCAAACGAACTGAAAACATTGCGTTGACTACGTTCACCAACAAATACACTGATATTTTGTGTCGTTTTAGCGACATTTATTTCTTGATCCACTGGATTCACTTCAAAGGAACAATTTTCTGTACCGAATACATTTCGATCAAAGATTGAACTTATCTCTTTATCCGGAAACAGGTCTTCTTCTCTGTTGTTAACCAGAATGACAACCTTCTCGAGGGGAACCTCCTCTTGATGAGTGTAATCGCTCATGACTAACTCTATAAAGAATCAGATGTCAAACAATTTCATGAATTTGCAACAAGACACTCAACATTTTAAAAAATTTATAGCCTACTGCTCTCCATGATATTTTTTTAAATTGATTACAGAGTCACAAAATTCGTTCTTAAGATAATATCATTTTCAGATCTTAACATGAAAGAGATTTTATTAGACCTCATAAATGACCTCATAAAAACATGAATGACGTCATGACATACATGTTTTGTTAAATATTATGTGTTCACATTGCTCGTGAAGATAATTCGTGCACGAAGTTTCAACTTATGGAAACTGTTCTTTCTATTATTCTGGATGACAAACAGTAACTAAAAAAGATTCATCATTGACAATTCATAAAAATCAAACTCTTGAATCGCGTGTATTTTTACATCATGTCGTATGATTTCTGCATGACCGAAATTAGAAAATGTTTGTCATCGATTGATTCCCACAGTATAACAAAAATCGAAAGATCGCAGTGATCTTCCCACCAAAATTTTCAAAACTAAAGAGAATTGGGGTATCAAAAGTCAACATGTATTTTCGCTGATGTTTTGCTCATAAAGTAAGCGTCGAAATATAAGCAACTGACAAAGACAATGGCGGAGACTTCTGTTGCAAAGAATTAGTCTTAGTCAGAGTGTTAGTATTACTGATATCAGCAAAACAACGCACTACAAGCTAACACATAGAACATGAAGGTATAAGAATGTCGTAAACTACATATATACCATAATATCAATAATACGTTTGATTTTATAGCTCAAATGCTCATGGTCAAATACTGAGGAGCTTGGTGATCTAAATCTAACTGTTTCAATTGCGGCCTTACGCTGCACTTCTCATATAAAACTGACTTTAAAGATGAATATCTTCCTATTTAATAGAAATGGTGATTTATATATTTAAAGTTGGTCAAATTAGTTGGTCGTATTGTAGAAAATCAAGGTCAATTGCTGTCGATTTAAGGTAGCAACAAACAAAATATTTAGCCCAAAATCATCAGCGAAATAGATGAGTTTCCATGTAAAAGAATTTTACGAATTATAATATGTTAACCTCCATATTTGTTTGTGACGGCATTAAACCATTAGGAATACATCATAGCGAATGTTTGCGGAAATAACATTTAAAATTTATAGTTTGCGACAAATATGCATTTGAATTTATGAGTTCGATTCGATATGTTTTAAGTCACTGAAATCCAAGCAGTCTTCTACAGTTATTAAACAAGATTTACCTTTTGTTGAAAATATTAAGCACGACCTTCTCGACCACAATCTGTAACAATATATTGACGTCTATCCACGGAAATAATGTGCGCAACTTATGATCTATATGTGACAAAGAGAAATTCGACGTTGAGAGTTTAATTTCATGTTCATTCAGATAGCTAATACTAATTAAAACGAGATTTACCTTGTTTTCGAATTCCTGTGTTTCGCACTATCTTCTCAAAATTGCTGCTTGACGTCTTCCTCACCATAAGTGATAAGCAGCAACTGAATGACGAACAAACAATAAAATTCCTTGTATTTTGTAAACCAATAAATTTATTAGAAAATGAAAGTATTGATCACGTGAAAAATGTCGTATGATCTCTGCGTGACTAGAAATAATAAAAGATTAAATTTCATATCCGTAGAATCGTAGTGTTTCTACCAATAATTGAATTAAATTTGTTAAATTCGACAGACAAATGTCTTATTTTATCAGATGTAACATCACAAGGAAAGATGTCAATACAAAGTAAGACTTACCACGGTACAAGCAATTTTCTCATTCAGCGGTGATTCCCCAGTTAATACTTGGGAATTCCCATTCACCTTTTTTAGTAATATAAAGGAACACTGCTAAGAGAACATTGTCTGAGAATTTCAGACTGCTTAACTCGATGACGTCAACCAACGAATAATGTTACTGATTTATACACTGTGAAACTGATTATACCACTTTACGTGACCCAAATCTTTACAAGGCATTTGGCAAGTTATTATAAGTCTAGCACTTTGTTTGTCTATCTGGTATGCATTTATAATTTGTAAAAATAAACTTTTGGAGGAACTTTCTTTGTACCTGGTGTTTATATTGATTAGTTGGAAGAATGTTCATGGTTTTTGAAGCCTGCACATGTATACTTAATACCTCTGACTGCGAATACCTTGAGGCACAGTTCATTCCTTTCGATAGACGACTTGTGTTGACTTGGAAAGAAAATAAGTTAAATGGATATCTCCCCTAAAATAACATCGACAATTTGCACTGGTTTTCTGTTTATAATCTGAGATTATATTTAATGTTAGAACAGTTAATTACATAACTATTCAGAAATTTATGCTTATTTCCATAACTAAGCAGACAACATATTTAGGTTTCTCAATTAATGCTTTAATGCAATGTATTAGGTGTTGACCAAAGTCAACATACGTAAGCATTTACCATAGTTTGCGATAATTGCCGTCACCAGTTTGTTCAAGGAAACTGAAAACATTGCGTAGATTATGTTCACCAACAAATACACTGATACTTTGTGTCGTTTTAGAGACATTTATTTCTTCATCCACTGGATCCACTTCAAAGAAACAATTTTCTGTACCGAATACATTTCGATCAAAGATTGAACCTATCTCTTCATCCGGAAACATGTCTTCTTCTCTGTCGTTAACGAGAATAGGAACCTTCTCGAGGGGAACCTCCTCTTGATCAATGTAATCGCTTATGACTAACTCTATAAAGAATCAGATGTCAAACTTTTTCATGATTTTGCAACAAGGCACTCAACACTTTTAAAAATTTATAGCCTACTTCTCTCCATGATAATTTTTTCCATTGATTACAGAGTCACAAAACTCGTTCTTAAGATAACATCATTTTCAGATCTTAACATGAAAGAGCTTTATTAAAAAGAAATGTTCGATGAAAATTTTAGGCATGTAATTTTTGTCCATAAATTTACACTAGACGCAGTTCTCTCACGCAGTTTTGAGATAAGCACCAATTAGTAAAATCGACATTTTGTGAATTTAAAACGAATAAATGTCGAATTCGACACATTAAATATGAATCAGCACATCGGACAATCGACAATCAAAGTCAATTCTTGCTTTCTATATAGAAAAGCAAAACGAACATTTTTGACAAACGTCATCAATAATATGGATGAGGTAAACCCCTCGGTAAACTATAAAATAATCATTTATTGAATAATAAATTTGCTATGAACACACACACCACAATATACAGTTAATAAAATTCAACCAAAATCGATGTAAAATGTCCATGGAAATATCGGTTCAATAATTTATTATCAGCGAGAACTAAGAATTCGAAGCCGCGAGTTTAATCCAATGTTTTTAAGTTGACACATTGCCATCAAGTGCTTGTTAATGACTAAACTTTTTTGTGAATAAAACTTACCAGTTGGAGAACCAAGAACGCGAGATTCGATATTAAAGTAAGTATCTTTAAATAGACGAAGGACTAGAGATGTTGCAGACAAAGTACGTTATGATTATTTGCCAACTATTTATGACATAGGAAAGACTAGCATGAGCCAATAGGAAGCAAGGATTCCTTCATGATTTGAGAATGACGTTCACGTGAAAGGATGTGCTAACAAATCGTGAGTCGTGGGCCGTGGGTTGAATATCGTAGTTCGGATTTGGAGGTTAAGTGTCGTATGCCTGAAGAATTTAGATATTATAAAAGCTTACCGAAAGTTAATTAATACATATTTTTCCTACCCGTTCTATATAATCTATTTTCAAAATATGCGTAATATGTACAGGAGTAGAAAGTACTTTACATACTATTGAACAATAAATATTTATTTATCAATCTGTTCTATTATATATTGTGCTGCAGGAAGAACATTGAATTTCTGTCCGAAGAAAATCGTTAAAAGGACAAGACATAGAGCACATAGAGCAAGCTGTACGCTCTTCCTACGACATAATATTCTTTTAGGTTTTTAGTTTTTTACAACATGAAAATTTATCTGCGCAGTTCTCAAGACCCACGACATTCGAAATCAGCACACGACATTTATTCCACTACCCACGACTATTGGCACATACGTGAAGTAAAAATCCAAAGAGAACGAAGTCCACATGTAATCTCTGCGTGAGTCGGATGTAATTAAAAACTTCTATTCACAGCAGTAACGCTACGTATTTGTCCAAATGACATAATGTTAAATTCGATAAATAAAGTTTTAGATGAATCTGTTATTTACTTAAATCTTCATCAATTGAATTTCAAGCAGTTAAATCGTTCAGTAGAGACTAGCCTACTAGAAGGTGTCACAAAAAACTACTCATCTTTGAAATTAGCCGACATTTAGATTTTGTATAATTCATCAATAATTGATGGTAAAAAATTGCTTAAAGTGGCTTGTAAGTGAAAAATTATCGCTTTCAAGGCGTCATCGATTTAGGTGATTTCCCTATCCATTGAGCAAACGTTCCAGAAGATTTTAGAGTATTGCACCATCGTTCAAACCAGTAGCAGATTGAGGAAAGGTTGAAAAACACAATAACATTTTTGGATACAAAAACTGGATACAAAATGCAATGTAAATTCCTAGAATAAAGTATGTTAAAGTACTACTCTAAAAATGAGCCTTTGAAGTCAGTAATTCACGTCATTGTAATTTGACCAGAATGATGATGATGACGTTGGAGATTATGAATTACAGAATGTTGCGTTTGCAAAACTTTGCGTTATGACGTAAATGAAAATTACGTCATTTTTATTGACGTAATGCATATTAAATTGAAGGAAAATAACCATTGTCATGTTTCGAAACTACTTATTTACATGAACATGTAATATACGTAAGTTTACTAAATGCTCTATATTAAAGTGCAGTCCTTTCATTAAAAACTTAAGAAGAAATTTTGATGGATTTTTTGTCAATGCAAAGGTAACAAAATCAGTGCAATTTAATGGAAATCAACATCATTAAATCACGTTCGTGCTCCAAATCAGTTAACCACGCTAAAGTCCCAAAAAGGAAAATCTTGTTCAATTGTGCCTCAGTGAAGAGAGTGGTACCACACACAAGATGAATATTTTTGACATCGAACCAAAATAACGTCATTAATCCATAAATGACTTCATAAAAACATGAATGACGTCATGACATACATGTTTTGTCAAATATTATGTATTCACATTGCTATTGAAGATATTTCATGCACGAAGTTTCAACTTATGGAAACTGTCCTTTCTATTATTATGAATGACAACCAATAACTAAAAAAGATTCATCATTGACAATTCATAAAAATCAAACTCTTGAATCGCGTGTATTTTTACATCATGTCGTATGATTTCTGCATGACCGAAATTAGAAAATATTTGTTATCGATGGATTCCCACAGTATAACGAAAATCGAAAAATCGCAGTGATCTTCCCACCAATATTATCAAAACTAAAGACAATTTGGGTATCAAAAGTTAACATGTATTTTCGCTGATGTTTTGCTCATAAAGTAAGCGTCAAAATATAAGCAACTGACAAAGACAATGGCGAAGACTTCTGTTGCAAAGAATTAGTCTTAGTCAAAGTGTTAGTATTACTGATATCAGCAAAACAACGCGCTACAAGCTAACACATAGAACATAAAGGTATAAGAATGTCGTAAACTACATATATACCATAATATCAGTAATACGTTTTATTTTATGGCTCAAGTGCACATAGTCACATACCGAGGAGCGAGATATACCTTTCTTTCGAATTCCTGTGTTTCGCACTATCTTCTCAAAATTGCTGCTTGACGTCTTCCTCGCCATAAGTGATAAGCAGCAACTGAATGACGAACAAACAATAAATTCCTTGTATTTGGTAAACCAATAAATTTATTAGAAAATGAAAGTATTGATCACGTGAAAAATGTCATATGATCTCTGCGTGACTAGAAATAATAAAGATTAAATTTCATATCCGTAGAGTCGTTGTGTTTCTACCAATAAATGAATTGAATTTGTTAAATTCGACAGACAAATGTCTTATTTTATCAGATGTAACATCACAAGGAAAGATGTCAATACAAAGTAAGACTTACCACGGTACAAGCAATTTTCTCATTCAACGGTGATTCCCCAATTAATACTTGGGAATTCCCATTCACCTTTTAGTAATATAAAGGAGCACTGCTAAGAGAACATTGTCTGAGAAACTTCAGACTGCTTAACACGACAACGTCAACCAACGAATAATGTTACTGAATAATGAGTAAAACTGATTGTACCACTTTACGTGACCCCAATCTATACAAGGCATTTGGCAAGTTATTATAAGTCTAGCACTTTGTTTGTCTATTTGGTATGCAATTATAATTTGTAAAAAAAAACTTTTGGAGGAACTTTCTTTTTACCTGGTGTTTATATTGATTAGTTGGAAAAATGTTCATTGTTTTTGAAGCCTGCATATGTATACTTAATACCTATGACTGCGAATACCTCGAGGCACAGTTCATTCCTGTCAATAGAAGACTTGTGTCGACTTGGAAAGAAAATAAGTTAAATGGATATCTCCCCCCCCCCTAAAATAACATCGACAATTTGCACTGGTTTTCTGTTTATAATCTGAGATTATATTTAATGTTAGAACAGTTAATTACATAACTATTCAGAAATTTATGCTTATTTACATAACTAAGCAGACAACATATTTAGGTTTCTCAATTAATGCTTTAATGCAATGTATTAGGTGTTGACCAAAGTCAACATACGTAAGCATTTACCATAGTTTGCGATAATTGCCGTCACCAGTTTGTTCAAGGAAACTGAAAACATTGCGTAGATTATGTTCACCAACAAATACACTGATACTTTGTGTCGTTTTAGGGACATTTATTTCTTGATCCACTGGATTCACTTCAAAGGAACAATTTTCTGTACCGAATACATTTCGATCAAAGATTGAACATATCTCTTCATCCGGAAACATGTCTTCTTCTCTGTTGTTAACGAGAAGGCTATCGTCCAGCTGCATAGCTTGAAAATCTGGTTCACCTTGATGGTACGGTTCGATCTCACTTGTCTGGTTGCGATAACTCCCGTCACCAGTTTGTTCAAGCGAACAGAAAACATTGCGTTGATTAGGTTCACCAACAAATACACTGATATTTTGTGTCGTTTTAGGGACATTTATTTCTTGATCCACTGGATCCACTTCAAAGGAACAAATTTCTGTACCGAATACATTTCGATCAAAGATTAAACTTATTTCTTCATCCGGAAACAGGTCTTCTTCTCTGTTTTTAACGAGAAGGCTATCGTCGAGCTGCATAGCTTCAAAATCTGGTTCTCCTTGATGGTAAGGTTTGATCTCACTTGTCTGGTTGCGATAACTCCCGTCACCAGTTTGTTCAAGCGAACTGAAAACATTCCGTTGATTAGGTTCACCAACAAATACACTGATACTTTGTGTCGTTTTAGGGACATTTATTTCTTGATCCACTGGATTCACTTCAAAGGAACAATTTTCTGTACCGAATACATTTCGATCAAAGATTGAACATATCTCTTCATCCGGAAACATGTCTTCTTCTCTGTTGTTAACGAGAATGGGAACCTTCTCGAGGGAACCTCCTCTTGATCAATGTAATCGCTCATGACTAACTCTATAAAGAATCAGATGTCAAACTTTTTCATGATTTTGCAACAAGGCACTCAACACTTATAAAAATTAATAGCCTATTGCTCTCCATGATAATTTTTTCTATTGATTACAGAGTCACAAAACTCGTTCTTAAGATAACATCATTTTCAGATCTTAACATGAAAGAGCTTTTATTAAAAAGAAATGTTCGATGAACATTTTAGGCATGTAATTTTTGTCCATAAATTTACACTAGACGCAGTTCTCTCACGCAGTTTTGAAATAAACACCAATTAGTAAAATCGACTTTCTTGTGAATTTAAAAAGAAATAAAAGTCGAATTCGATACGTTAAATATAAATCAGCACATCGGACAATCGACAATCAAAGTCAATTCTTGCTTTCTATATAGAAAAGCAAAACGAACATTTTTGACAAACGTCATCAATAATATGGATGAGGTAAACCCCTCGGTAAACTATAAAATAATCATTTATTGAACAATAAATTTGCTATGAACACACACCACAATATACAGTTAATAAAATTCAACCAAAATCGATGTAAAATGTCCATGGAAATATCGGTACAATCATTTATTATCAGCGAGAACTAGGAATTCGAGGCCGCGAGTTTAATCCAATGTTTTTAAGTTGACACATTGGCATCAAGTGCTTGTTAGTGACTAAACTTTATTGTGAATAAAACTTACCAGTTGGAGAACCAAGAACGCGAGATTCGATATTAAAGTAAGTATCTTTAAATGGACGAAGGACCAGAGATGTTGCAGACAAAGCACTTTATGATTATTTGCCAACTATTTATGACATAGGAAAGACTAGCATGAGCCAATAGGAAGCAAGGATTCCTTCATGATTTGAAAATGGCGTTCACGTGAAAGGATGTGCTAACAAATCGTGAGTCGTGGGCCGTGGGTTGAATATCGTAGTTCGGATTTGGAGGTTAAGTGTCGCATGCCTTAAGAAAACTATTTACACAAATTTAGATATAAAAACATACCGAAAGTTAACTAATACAGATTTTTCCTACCCGTTCTATATAATCTATTTTCAAAATATGCGTAATATGTACAGGAGTAGAAAGTACTTTACATACTATTCAACAATAAATATTTACTTATCAATCTGTTCTATTATATATTGTGCTGCAGGAAGAACATTGAATTTCTGTCCGAAGGAAATCGTTAAAAGGACAAGACATAGAGCACATAGAGCAAGCTGCACGCTCTTCCTACGAAATAATATTCTTTTAGGTTTTTAGTTTTTTACAACATGAAAATTTATCTGCGCAGTTCTCAAGACCCACGACATTCGAAATCAGCACACGACATTTATTCCTCTACCCACGACTATTGGCACATACGTGAAGTAAAAATCCAAAGAGAACGAAGTCCACATGTAATCTCTGCGTGAGTCGGAAGTAATTAAAAACTTCTATTCACAGCAGTAACGTATTTGTCCAAATGACAAATACGTTAAATTCGATAAATAAAGTTCTCGATGAATCTGTTGTTTACTTAAATCTTCATCGATTGAATTTCAAGCAGTTAAATCGTTCAGTAGAAACTAGCCTACTAGAAGGTGTCACAAAAAACTACTCATCTTTGAAATTAGCCGACATTTAGATTTTGTGTAATTCATCAATAATTGATGGTAAAAAATTGCTTAAAGTGACTTGTAAGTGAGATATTATCGCTTTCAAGGCGTCATCGATTTAGGTGATTTCCCTATCCATTGAGCAAACGTTCTGTTTCTACAAGGCGCTAACATTACATTAATCGTCTCCTGATATAGTCCAATCCTTGTTAATTTTTCCCTGATACTAGGCAAACCAGAAAGCGTAGCGATTTGTGTAATGGATGAATTACATGTGGTGTCTCTGGTAGGCTGAAGAGGAACCGTTCCGTTTCAAGTGGACTGGGTCTCGAATGCACATCTTCATTGCTTTCGAGTACCACGACTGTGTCGGCCAGTTTGAAAGTATGCATACTCCCGTTGCTGTCTGTTCTTGAATCTTTGGTAAAAAAGGTCCTATTACACTAAACGGAGGGAAAGTACAAAACTTCATATTGGATATATCAACTGAGAATACGACAACTGCCTTGGCCCCTGGGTCAAGTCGGTAAGATATATAAGTAAGGAACTGTGTGTTCGTCGTGAAGCAAACACGTCCGTGTCGGGGAAAAAATTTAGCTTTAATGCCTCATTAAGGCGTTCCCGTTTAAGCATCCACTCAGTATTATACATTGTCTATTTCTGGATTGAAAATCTGAGTCAGTATTTCAATCCCTGGCATGTGAGCTGCGCTAAGCCATATCTTATGCTCCATACACCATTCCCAAACTCTCTAACCTATATTATTGCATTGCGGAGAATGACTCGAACCCATGTGATTAATTAAAGCTACAGCTGTGGTGTTATCTAGTGGTGCTCTAATGTGCGTGTTGTTCAGGGACTTGCACTATGTTTGCAATCCCAGGTATAAAGCTAAAAGCTCTAGATAATTTATGTGGCTATTTTTCTCGTGTAAGTTCCAAGTTCTCCCAGTCTGTTTATCATAAAACACTGCCCCAGCCACAAAGAGAGGCATCAGTTGTTTGAATATATAATAGTTTGCCGTGTGTAATTACATTGCATGCCTTATCGATATTTCTTATCCACATTATCGCATGGCGAGATGCATCATTCAAACACAATGCATCGTCGAAAATCCCTTTCAACGCGCGAAGAGCATGTGTCTTATCTGCTTTGAGTGCACGATAAAAAAGTGGCCCGTGCATCACGCCAGGGAAAGATGCTATCAGTTTTCCTATTAATTGTGCTAAATCTCGAATTGCCACGCGATCCGAATTTAAGATGGTTTCACAGTTGCTCTTAATGCAGTTAGGCATATAGTCGTGTCAATCAAGTTTACAACAAATCCTAACAGCGTAATAATTTGATTTGGGTTAAGAACAGATTTTTCAAGGTGAATGATAAAGCCTAAAGCATGAAACTTTTTCAAAGTAGCAATTACACAAACTACGCACTCGTTATATGTTTTACCCTGGAGGAAGAGGTCGTCAATGTAACTAGCAATCGTGTGTCCAAGCTGACGGAGTTCTGCTAATGGTGATTTTAACAATTTGGTGAGCATTCTAGGGCAACTGGATAACCCATTTGGCAAACAAGTAAATTGGTATAAAACCCCCT